GGACTCTTGATTTCCACTCAGGTTGTGATCTCGGGGCTGAGAGATCGAGCCCCGCTTCTGGCTCTGCACTCAGCGGGGAATCTGCTTGTCCCTCTCCCTACCCCCACTCGTGTGGTTCTCACTTTCTCTGAAATAAATAAATTTTTAAAAATAATAAAAATTATAAAAAGCTGAAATAATAGTATAATAAATACTCATACATCCTTTATCCAGATTCACCAGGTCTTAACATTTGGCTGCATTTGATTTACCTCTTTTATATACCTAGACGTGTATATGTGGGGTTTGTTGCTGGTTTTTTGAGTGTTGGTTACAGGCATCATATGTTTCATTTCTCAGTACTTTAGCATGCACCTCTTACATAATCACAGTACCATGATCACACTTAAGAAAATTGATGTTAAAATTCCCTAATATTACCTAACATTTCCATTTTCCCAACTGTCATCAAATGATTTTTATAGCTACTATTTTTTTCCCCTGAGCCAGAATCCAGTTCAGGATCACTCATTGAATCTTGTTGTCATGTTGCTTTCTCCCTTTTTTCCAGCTCTATGGAGACGTAATTGACATACAGCGTTGTGTGAGTTTACGGTGTGCAGTGTGGTGACTTCATGTACGTGTGTTGCTAAACAATTCCCACAGTAAGGTTGGTTAACACCTCCTCACCTTGTGTAAATGCTGTTTTGTTAATGTGTCCTGTGTCTCTAGTGTCCTGTTTAATCGAAAATATTCCCCAGCCTCTGTTCATTTGTTTTGTCTTTTTTTTTTTTTTTAAGATTTTATTTGCTTATTTGTCAGAGAGAGCACACAAGCGGTGGGGAGCGGCAGGCAGAGGGAGAAGCAGGCTCTCCGCCGAGCAGGGAGCCCGATGCAGGGCTCGATCCCAGGACCCTGGGACCACGACCTGAGCTGAAGGCAGACGCTTAACCAGCTAAGCCACCCAGGCGTCCCATTTGTTTTGTCTTTTATGAAATTAACCTCGAGACAACTTCGGGCCAGTTGTCGAGGCTGTGCCTGATTGCATCTTCCTGATTTGAGTCAGGTTGATGGGCTCTGCAGGAATCCCACCTGGAGGATGCTGTGCCCTCCTCCATGCATCCTAGCAGGAGGCGCTCAGCGTCATTTCTTTCATTATGGGTGATGCTTAATTTGATCGCATGGTTAGCAAGATATCTGCCAGATCTACCTGTTGTGCAGGTGCTTCTTCTTTCTGATTAATCTGTGGGGTGGTCCCTGGAAGACGTGTCACTGTTTCGTTCCCCCCAGAAGCTTTTCCTTCGGCGACTTGAGCTGGCTTTTTGCCATTTCTGCTTACTCTGTCATATGGGTGCTCTGTGTCAGCACCAAAAGGTCTGTTCAGGCCCCGTCACCGCTGGAACTGTCATTCCCTCTTAGGGATATCTGGCTGTTTATTTACTTGGTCCCTCATCAGTGGACATAAAGATCGTTTCCCGATCTCTTGCTGCCACAGACGGGGATTTTGTAGGCACACGTGAAACAGAAGCAATTCCTCAGCTGTGCGCCGGAGGTTGAGAGCAAGGAAGTTGCTTGGGTAGAGAAGAGGGAGGGAGTGGAGAAGGAACGCCAGGCAGGGAGGTGGGAACAGCAGGTGGGACACAGGGCTGGCTGAGGTGCTGGAGAGCCAGCAAGGGTACCAGAAAAGTCAAGTGACTTTCCCAAGGTCACACACACAGCAAATTGGTGGCAGAGCCAGGAACAGTGTTCCCGCACTGCCTCCCCAAAGTGGCCTGAAAGCAGGCTCCCATAACCCCAAAAGGACCTGGGTGTGCCTGGCCCAGGCGGGACTAGAGGCCTAGGTTCACAGTAGCCCCTCCCAGCTGTTCTGGCTCTTCCTCTCTGGCCTGGAGGGGGTTGGCCCCCCGGCCTGCAGGAGGGAGACCGCTGAGCCACCCAGGGCTCGCGACTTCACCGGGGAGGGGCTGTCAGAGAGCTCACGGCTTACACTCAGCATTTCTGTGCAAAGGCAGGTCCTGCTCCTGGTGTGGGAGGTGCCCACTCCAGTCTCCAGAGCAGCCCTGGCTGCTGCGGGCTATCGCCAACCCATTGTACAGATGGAGAAACCAGGTCCTGAAGTTTTAGCCAGTAGAAGAAAGGGGAGGGGTCAGCTCCTTCCCCTGCTTTCTGAATCTGTGGTTGTCAGAGCGCAGCCCCTTGAGGAAGCCCCCCCTCCCCATGACCACTGCAGCCGGGCTTGTGCCTCCTCTGGGCCCCGCTTGCTTCTCTCCTCCGCGGCACTCTCTCCAGCCCACGGCAACTCCCGGCACATGGTGCGGGGAGCTCGGGTGTCTGACAACCTGAGCGGGACAGGATGTTCACTTGAGGTGTAAACCTCAGGCAAGGCCACCTTGCCTCTTTGACCTTGCTCAGGGTCCTCATCTATAAAATGGGGGTAACAATAGCCTCCGTCGTTAGAGGATTGGATGAGCCATAGCGTGTCAAGGACAGGGCCTGGCACAGAATAAGTGCTCAGAAAACAGGGCTTGTTATCATTTGTATTATTATCATCAAGTCAGTGGTGAGGCGGCAGCAGCAGCTGCAGGCTGGGAAGGGGGTGCTTGCAAACTGACAGCCAGGCGGGTGGGGTGACTAACAGTGCCCCAGCCTCCACGCCCGCTCTGGTGGTGCAGTGGTGGTGAGTTTGGGGAGGGAGGGGGAGGCATGGGGATGTGGAAAGCTAGCACAGCCCCTGTTCAGAAGGGCCTGAAGGTCAGGAACCCAGCCAAGCCCAGTGGAACCCTCATTCGAGTTCTGGGCAGTCACCCCTAACTAGCTATATGACTTCACACAAGTTGTTCAACCTCGTGAGCCTCAGTTTCCGCTTCTATAAAATGGGGCTAAGAAGAGCTCACAGTTCACCACGGTTTGTGGACCACAAGAACCCAGCAGGTGGTTCCTGTCCCCAACTCAGACGTGTGAATGTGTTTGATTGGGGCGGGGTGGGGTGAGCATCTCTGCTCAGCCTTGTTGGGCCCCAGTCTCCCTGTGCTGACAGCAGAGATCTGGCCTCTGGCGACAAGAAGCACCTGTGTATCCTGGGAGGAAGGGAAGCCTTTTTGTCTGGAGGAGAGAGACGGGGTTTATGCCAAGCTCTGTGCCAGATCTTCTTAGTCCAGGGGTCTCAGCCTGCATGCAGGGCCTGCGTGTCCCCACCTTTCAGGGTGAGGGATCTGAGGCTCAGAAGGGTTGAGTCATTCTTCCGAGTTGCAAACTCAACAGAGCCAGGTCTGCCTGACCAGAAGCAGGAGCGAGGCCTGGAAGGGGTGCTGGTTCTCCCTGGCTTCTGCTCTCCTCAGCCACGCGCTTCCCTGCTGAGGTCCCCAGGAGCAGACCCTGGTTCCTCGGTTTGGCGTTTGAAGCCCCTGATGACCTGCAGGGTCGATGCCAGGTGGACCCCCCTCCAAGCTAGCCCCCGCCAGCAGATTGGTGGGGTGCTCGGATGGTCAGGGTATGCTTCCCACCCGCTTCCAGTGGGCTTGCGGCCGGGCCCTTTGCTCTCGGCCATCCCTGTCTACCTGACCCCCTTGCTTGGCTGTCACCCCAACCCGGGCCACCTTCTCCCACTTGCCTCCTGTCCCTAAGCTCCCCGCTCTTCAGGGCTCGGCTCTGGGGCTCCCTCCTCCAAGAGACGCGCGGAACCCCTGCAGTCCTTGCTCACCTCACACGCCCGGGCACACGCACTCAAGCGTCGCCTCCCACTGCCTGGCCTGGGGTAGGTGGCATCGTTACCTGGACCTAGACCTTGTCCATCCTGTCAGATGAGCCTCGGAACAGGACTCCCGGAGGTTTTCTCCTAACACCCTGCGACCATGGAGAAGTCCCCGGCCTGTCTGAGCCTCAGTTGCCTCAGTCTCCTGTCAACAGAGAACAGTAGTAGCCCCAGCCCCGCGACTTCCTGAGACGGGTGCTCGGGGGCTCTGGGCTTCAGGAAGGCAACAGCAGTCGAGGGGGCGCCAGGCTGGGTGTGCAGGATGGAGTGGCTTGCTGCCCTTGCGGCGTGGGTTGGCTGGAGGTTTTTTTGGAGGGGCTCAACTTTATTGAAGTAAACCTACACACCAAAAAGTGCCCCAGTCATAAGGGTACAGCCCAGTGAAGTACCTCAAAGAGAATTCAGCCCCCTTCCGGTGGCACCGACCCCTGCCAAGGGCAGTTGCCATCCTGCACCATGGACTTGGCCAGATTTTGAACTTCATACAGTGTGAACGGGATTACACAGCCTGTGCTCTTCTGTCTGGCTTCTTAGTTAATACCGTTTCGGAAATTCATCCCCGTGGTTTCGTTATTCAGTTTATTCACGTTCGCTGCTGAGCAGTGAAGCTCTGTGAAGACACCACGGTTTAGCCAGCTTACTCTTGATGGGCATCTGGGCCGTCCCCAGCGTGAGGTTGGCGACAGATCGTGCTGCGCAAGTGCTTTTGTGCCCCTGTCAGCGGACACCTGCGCTGTTTTCTCTTGGGTGTGTGCCTGGAAGGGGGAGGGCTGGGCCGTACATTTGACTGTAGACATACTGCCCGGGTACATTTTTATAGGCAGCGGAACTCAGAGGCCCACAGAGAAAAGTGACTTTCCCAAGTCACATTGCACCTTCCCCAGGTTCACAGAGCCCTGGGCTCCCTTCCCCCACAGACCACATAGCTAACATCCAGGCCTGGGGCTGGGGGGGGCAGGTGGCACTGGTGCTACTCACCCCGAGCTTCCTTTGCCTCTGTTGGCCATTTGGTTGGGCTGGAAGGCCCCCGTGGGCCTAGAGTTGGGGACTCCTCTGTCCCTGGGGGTCCATAGCCTTCATGCTCCTGCCTCCCCCCTTTCCAGTGATCTCAGGCTGCTGAGAGTGGAGAAGGTGGATGGTCCTGGCCCGAGTCCCAGCTCTGGAGGCCTTCGGTACCTGTTCACATTGCTGCGGGGAAGGAATGGGAGCCCAGTGACTTGGGGGGAGCCAGCTCCTCACCCGCTCCTCGGTCTTCCCCTTCTCCCTGCAGCTCTCATGGTACCAAGTGACACGGCGGCCTTCCTGTGACCCGGGGACGCCAGACCTTCTGAGAAGATGTCAGCAATCCAGGTACCGTGGGGGCGGGGGTCTAGGGCTGTTGAGTATTCCCCCCACCTGTGGAGGGGTGCTGAGTGGAAGAGAGAGAACAAGGGCTCACATCGATCTGCTCCCCTTGGCCCAACCCTGACTTTCAACAAAGGAAAATTCTAGGGTGCACTGTTAGACCCAGGGCCTTCAAGATGGGAGTACAGATCTGGGGGCAGTGGGGGAATCTCAGCTGGAAGGCACCCAGAGTTCTCGGGGCAAGGGTGGGGGGCATCTCACCCTGGCTCACAAAAGCCAGCCAAGAGGCTCTGACTTCAAGAGTGTGTGGGCAGTGGAGATGGGCCCCGGGCTGCCTCCACCTGCCCACCTGTCACCTGTCCTGCAGGCCGCCTGGCCATCCGGTACAGAATGCATTGCCAAGTACAACTTCCACGGCACTGCCGAGCAGGACCTGCCCTTCTGCAAAGGAGACGTGCTCACCATTGTGGCGGTCACCAAGGTAATCGGGGACCTCACATGGCCACACCTATCCCCTCCCGCCTCTAGGCGTTCCTGCTGGGTCCGGGCTCCCCTGCAGGCAACGGTGGGCCTGAAGGTGTGTCTGGGCTGCCCTCTCCCCAGGACCCAAACTGGTACAAAGCCAAGAACAAGGTGGGCCGTGAGGGCATCATCCCAGCCAACTATGTCCAGAAGCGGGAGGGCGTGAAGGCCGGCACCAAGCTCAGCCTCATGCCGTGAGTACTGCTGAGGAGCAGTCAGGGTCTGCAGTGCAGGGAGGAGGGAGGACGGGAAGCCCTGGTTCCCTTAGAGGAGTCAGGAAAACAGAGAGGCAAGAGTAGGGGTTGGAATGTGTGAGGCTCTTCGAGATGAGGGGAAGGGCATGGGTGCTAGACCTCAAAGGTGGAGGGTGGGCCTGGGAGGACCAAAGGAAGAAGGGTGGGAAGCAGAAGATGAGGGCCTCCGATGGCTGGCTTAGCCGGTGGGGGCGGTGGCAAGGTGCCAGCCGGAGGGAGGGCCTCAGAAAGTGGAGCCTGGCGGACGTGTGGGGGTCAGTACCCTCCAGCCACCATGAGCCCTGGCCTGGCCTCCCCCCAGCTGGTTCCATGGCAAGATCACACGGGAACAGGCAGAGCGGCTTCTGTGCCCACCGGAGACAGGCCTGTTCCTGGTGCGGGAGAGCACCAACTACCCCGGGGACTATACGCTGTGTGTGAGCTGTGACGGCAAGGTGGAGCACTACCGCATCATGTATCACGCCAGCAAGCTCAGCATCGATGAGGAGGTGTACTTCGAGAACCTTATGCAGCTGGTAGAGGTGAGCCAGGCTTGCCTTCCAGCGCAGTCCCACCTCTCCTGGCCTCGGGGGGCCTGCGTGTCCACCCCCCTCCACACCCCCGCCTTGACGAAGCACCTGCTTTGTGTCAGGGTTGACCTCTGACCCCCACAGTGCCACCACAGGGAGAGTGGCACTGTCCCCATCTCACAGGCCAAGAGACAGGTTCAGAGCGGTTAAAGGACCTGCCTCAGATCACACAGCCGTACATTAGAGGTGCCGGGACTAGAAGCTGGGTCTGGCTCACCCCAGAACTAGGCTTTCTTCCAGGCCCGCAGAACTTCACACCCACGTGTGTGTATAGAAGCACGTCTTCATGAGCTGCACCCTGATGGCTGGGGTCCCCCTGGACTCCCGCACCTGCATGGATATGCCCACATGGCCTTGCAACTCCCGAAGCCAGTTCCGCCAGCCCTGTTGAGGCCACACCTGGCTTCTGGGAGTCCAAGCGCCACCCCCCCCCCCCCCCGAGACGCCTCCTGTGGCTGGGGAAGGTCCTGGGCACATCTGGCCAGAGCCTGGTGTCTGGACTGAGCCCGGGCTTGCCTTCTGCCTCAGGATGCTGGTGAGGCGCATGGCCCAGCGTGGTAGCAACAGCCCGGTATCTGTCCAGCACTTGGATGTGACTGGGAAGTGGGTCACAGATCTGAGTCTGGGGCCTCCCTAATCCTTCCCCGGTGGCAAATGAGAAGCCCTCCCAACCCAAAGCAAGTCCAGGCTGGGTGGGCTCGGCCTCCGCCGCCCTCTGGTGGTTAGAGCCGGCAGTGCATGTGAGCGGCAGGAGGCACTCGGTGGGCCGGCCCTGAGCGCCTGCCCTGCCCTCCGCAGCACTACACCTCAGACGCAGACGGGCTCTGTACTCGGCTCATCAAGCCAAAGGTCATGGAGGGCACAGTGGCAGCCCAGGATGAGTTCTTCCGCAGTGAGTGCCATCCCTGCTCCCCGTCCTCACTTGCCTACCCGCCTCCTCCTACCCAGGCTCCCTGGCACTGCCCCCATCCCGGAGGCTCTGAGGACCTCCAGGGAACGCCACACATGTGGTCCAGGCTGTGTCTGCTGTGCCCCCTGCTCTGGCTTCACCCCTCACTGACACCCCCTCCCCCCGCCAGGCGGCTGGGCACTGAACATGAAGGACCTGAAGCTGCTGCAGACCATTGGGAAGGGGGAGTTTGGAGGTGAGCGGGAGGGGGTGGCAGCCCTGGGAGGGCCAAGGGCCTGTGGAGGGTCCAGGGAACAACCTCCAGCCCTCTTCCCCCAGACGTGATGCTCGGTGATTACCGAGGGAACAAAGTTGCCGTCAAGTGCATTAAAAATGACGCCACTGCCCAGGCCTTCCTGGCTGAAGCCTCTGTCATGACGTGAGTTGGGGGCCGAGGCTGGGTGCGGAGGTCACCCCGGGACAGGGAGGAGATGGGGAGGCTTGGCAGGCTCTGACCAACCCCCTCCTGCCCCAGGCAACTTCGGCATAGCAACCTGGTACAGCTTCTGGGCGTGATTGTGGAAGAGAAAGGCGGGCTCTACATCGTCACTGAGTACATGGCTAAGGTGTGCACCTGCCCCGAGGGCCCACCCCCGTCCTAGAGTCGAGCACTCGGGCTTTCCAGATGTCCCAAGCCCCTTACTGCTCCCTCGGGCCCCTGGCTCTGAACTCTGAAGTCACCAGGCAGGGCTCAGCTTTTGTCCTGACTCGTCATTTATTCCCTGTGACAAGTTGTGTACCTTGCCAAGCTTCGATTTCCACATCTGTGAAATAGAGATAGTGTCAGAGTTTACCTTAGAGATTTATGAGATTTAAGGGCGAATGCATGAAAACTGCTGAGCGCAGTGGCCAGCTCGTAGAACCTACTACTCGTTCAGCAGTGATGTCCCGGCCCTTCCTCCGCTCCTCCCCTCTCCTCGTATCTCCTTCAAGTGTTCACCCAGCCCCAGCCCGGGATTCCAGAGGGCTGGAGGGCAAGTCTGACCTGTGGGGCCGGTTGGTCTGTCTGTCCTGCCCCAGGGGAGCCTGGTGGACTATCTGCGGTCAAGGGGTCGGTCGGTGCTGGGCGGAGACTGTCTCCTCAAGTTCTCACTGTGAGTGAAGCAGCACCCACTGGGGGGGGGGAACCCTTCCCGGCTGCGGGAGCCCCGTCTGAGGAGACGTGTGGCTGGCTCTCTCCCAGAGATGTCTGCGAGGCCATGGAATACCTGGAGGGCAACAACTTCGTGCACCGGGATCTGGCTGCCCGCAACGTGCTGGTGTCTGAGGACAACGTGGCCAAGGTCAGCGACTTCGGCCTCACCAAGGAGGCCTCCAGCACCCAGGACACGGGCAAGCTGCCAGTCAAGTGGACAGCCCCGGAGGCCCTGAGAGAGAAGGTGGGATGGGCCTCTCCCCAGAGCCTGAGAAGTGGGGGATGGGGCTCCTGGGTTCCCCACCCCCCACCCCCGCCAAATCCCCAGCTCCCAGGACCTGACACTGCTTCTCCCACCCACATGGCAGAAATTCTCCACCAAGTCTGACGTGTGGAGTTTTGGAATCCTTCTCTGGGAAATCTACTCCTTTGGGCGAGTGCCTTATCCAAGAATTGTGAGTCGGGCGCTGGGGCCAGGGCATGGCTGGGGCTGAGGGTGAGGCTTTTGGAGCAAGGGAGGGCTAGGCAGGAGAGGGAGCCATTCTGGGCCCTGCCTTCCGTTCTGAGCCGCAGAGCCGCCCTCGGGACTTTCCAGGTGCCTCCTGGGCCTGTCTCTGAGACTGGGGTCTGAAGGGGATCCCTGAAACTGAGTCGAGGCCCCCAGGGGGGTGGGGCCAGGCCCTGCACGGACTGACCCCAGCCACCCGCCCGCAGCCCCTGAAGGACGTCGTCCCTCGGGTGGAGAAGGGCTACAAGATGGACGCCCCTGACGGCTGCCCGCCTGCGGTCTACGAGGTCATGAAGAACTGCTGGCACCTGGATGCCGCCGTGCGGCCCTCCTTCCTGCAGCTCCGGGAGCAGCTCGAGCACATCAAAACCCACGAGTTGCACCTGTGACCGCCGGGCCCCCCCAGTGCCCCTCCCCCACCCAGGTCGTGGGCCTGCGGGGACTGAACCTGGAGAGATTGTGGACCTGGTGCCCCCACTTGCTGGGCCCAAGCCTGAACTGAGCCCAGCGGGCCCATGGGCTTCTTTCGTCTGCCCCAGCCTGCACCCCCTCTGGCCCCCCAGAGACCCTCCCTAGGCCTGGCACCTTTTCTCATGGACCCACATGTGGGGCTTGGGGAGCTCCACCGAAGCGCCAGGAAGGGAGGAGGCTGGGGAGCGTGAGGCAGATGCCCCCTACCGTGGTCAGGCTTCTCCTGGCCTCCCATCTCTCGCCTTCTTAGAGTTTTATTCCTTTCCTTTTTTGAGATTTTTTCCCGTGTGTTTATTTTTTATTATTTTTCAAGATAAGGAGAAAGAAAGTACCCAGCAAATGGGCATTTTACAAGAAGTACGAATCTTATTTTTCCTGTCCTGCCCACCGGGGTTGGGGAGACCAGGCCCCTCTCTAGGGACCCATCGCCCCAGCCTTGTTCCCGTGTTCGTGTCCCGTGTCGCCTCGGTCGCCCCGTGTTTGCGCTTGACCACGTCGCACTGTTTGCATTGCATGCGCCCGAGGCAGACGTCTGTCAGGGGCTTGGAGTCCATTCGTGTGCCGCTGCTGCCCGCCCACCTGCCTTGTGAGATGGAATCGTAATAAACCACATGAGGACACCGCTGCCCGGCCTCGGCGCTTCCTCCGCCCAGCCTGCCTGTCCCGCCCGGCCCCCTGTCCCTGTGCCACCTTGTCCATCCCCCTGTCTCTGTGAGTGGGGCTGTGCTTGCCCTGGGAGCACGGCCGGGAGATGTAGCCGCCGCTTTGTGTCCGCTGCACGAGCGAGTGTCCTGTGTCTGCCGTGGGGGAGCCCTCCCCTCCTCCCCCCACCGTCCTGCTGTGGCCCCGGGCCCAGGCGGCCGTCCTGAGCTTGGGAGGGCCCCAGCTGCCCGCCCTGCCCTGGTGCTCAAGCCGACAGCACAAGGAGGGCCGGAGCCCAGGATGGGGAAGGAAGCCAGGCCTGACCAGATGGAAGCGGGGGCCCCTGGTTGGAGGCAAGATAAATGGCTCATGGCTCAGAGAAGGTGCGGACCCGGGGGGTGAGGGAAGGGGAGGCTCTGAGCTGCTGGTGGTTCTCACGGCTCACCCAAGATGGAACGGCACGGCCGCATCCCAGCGTGTGCCCAGCCCCGTGCTTGAGGACACAGAGGTGGAGGGCCTTCCCCACACCACCTTGGGGGCCACAGATGGAGAATGAGGGCCAGCCGTGGCATTTTCTCCCCTTACTCAGGTTGCGCAGGGTCAGTGGTCAGGGCAGAAGCTGCAAAGATTGGGGGAGGCTCATTTCATTCACTGAGACAGTCACTGGGGGTGGGGGTCCCCTTGTCCCATTGCGGCTCTTACCGGTCCCAGCCAGTAGGACCTGAAATCCAGGGAGTTCCAACTTTGCCGTGTGTCTTGTGCACGCCTTAGCCCACTGCAGCCCAGCTGCCGGGGTCTGCTCCCTCCCCTCCGCAGCCCAGATCAGCGGCCTCCCCGATTCATCCCTTCTGTACATCGCCAGCCTCGTTTTTCCAAGACCAGACCATTCATTCAACAGCAGATATATTGAATAGCTGCTTTGTGCTAGGACTGGGGCTCAGCAATGAGCAAAACAGACCTTGTGGAGTTTCCAGGTGGGAGGACAATCAGACAACCACAAACTGATAAGTGCTATGGAAAAAACATGTATGACATAGGAATCGGATCTTGTCTATAGGTCAGGGAGGGCTTCCTGTAAGAGGCAGCATGTTAAGCTGAGATCAGAAGGGTGAACAGGAGGTGGGGGTGGGCAGCAGAATTCCAGGAAGAGATGCTGGGACTGGAGGGAGGGCAGCTTGTTCCGGGGTCTCTGGAAAGATGGTGAAGCTATGCAGGGAGCCTTGATGTGGAGAGAGGAGGCTGGAGGAAGGGTTGGCTTTTGTCACCCTGAGAGCCATGGGGAGCCGGTGACAGGTTCTGAGCAGGAAGGTATCTTTGAAACAATCAATCACCCAGGCTATTGGTGGAGAAGTTCCAGGGAGCACAGGGAGGACTGATCAGTGTAAGAGAGGAGGGTGGGAGTGGACAGCCTCCAGAGGGATGGGAGAAGCAGCTGAGTGAGCTTGCCAATGGCTTCATGATGTAGGTGGGGGGAGGGGCACGGAGGCAGCGCAACCCCTGAGAAGCAGAATGGCTGTGGGGGCGGGGGGGGCACCAAGAGACTCCTGTTCAGCACACATCATGAGTTCTATTAAGGGCGTGCTGAGTCTTAGGTGCGCCTTTGAACTGCCAAGAGGCGATGAGTAAGTTGTTGGAACCCAGAGGCTGGAGCGGGGAATCTGAGATATCAGCGTGTGGCTCGGATTGGAAGCCATGGCCAAGGAGGCGGTCACTTTGGGAGGACGTGCAGAAGAGAAGAGGGCCCAGGACCATGCTGGGGAGAGCACTTCACGTTCAAAGGCCAAGGAGAGGAAGCTGACCAGGCAAGGTACAGAGAGGGAGGTGGCAGACTGCCCTGCGGCAGAGGCGAGAGACAAGCCAGCCAGTCCCTCCTTCCCAGAAGACCGGAGCCTGCCCCTGGGGTTGGTGACTTCAGCAAAACCTGAGTTTGCGGGGGGTGCAGATTCCAGGCCTGGCTAGGGGGTGTGAGCTCTGCCGGAAGGCTGCCAGTCTTGGGAGATTGTAAGAGCTGTGAGACGTGGAAAGAGGACGAGTTAGGAGATTTGAAGGCGGCAGAGGCATGAGCAAGTCCGATGCCAAAGGGAAGGACGTTTACCTGCAGGCCGGATCCACGTGCTGCGGGGGCAGAAAAGACAGAGGTGCAGGAATAGCAGTGATCACAGGGGGAGAGTTCCTTAGAGCAGGAGGGGTGGCTGGACGCCCGCCGGAGCACAGGAGGTGTGCCTGCAGTGGGAGCCAGCGCCCAGGGAGGAAGCCACTGGCTGCGCCTCCCCGACGGTCACGGTCAGACGCGGGGTGTGTGGCAGGGAGCTCTGATTTAGTTTGCTGACATCCGTGGTGTACTCTCGCTGTGGCCAATGTCATGCTACCAGCCTGACTTCACTGGCGGGGCATTTTGACAATTGGCTGGGTTTCAGAACCCTGCAATGGTGCGTGGCTGTGGGATCGGGAGAGAAGGGGTGGGGGCCAGCGGACAGGGACCCGCAGGCATGCAGGCCCAGGTAGCCAGGTCTTTCCACCTGGTGGCCTGTGAGTCCTCCCCGTTCCTTCCTTCCATTCTCTCACTCGGCCTATGGCTTTTTTTTTTTTTTTTAAAGATTTTATTTATTTATTTGAGAGAGAGAGAATGAGAGATAGCACGAGAGGGAAGAGGGTCAGAGGGAGAAGCGGACTCCCCACCGAGCAGGGAGCCCGATGCGGGACTCGATCCCGGGACTCCAGGATCATGACCTGAGCCGAAGGCAGTCGCTTAACCAACTGAGCCACCCAGGCGCCCGGCCTATGGCTTTTTTGTTCCCTCCTTTCTTTTCTCTCATCCTTGGGCCCTGTGCTGGCCGCTGGCTTGGCATAGACAAGCAAGACAGGGTCCTTACCCTCATGGAGCTCATGACTAATGGGGATCCCACTCAGGCTCAACTTGATGCCCAGAAATCTGGCTAGGAGGAGGGAGCAGGAGGCTCTCGGTGGCTTCTCAGACGCCCGGAGTTCAGGCAGAGACAGAGAATGAGGTGCTTCTGACAACGGAAGGGCACTGCCTGGGCAAAGGTGCTGAGGTGCCATAGGCTGGTACGGCTGGGCCTCAGGTGCCAGTGGGGGGCTTTCAGGAGCAAGCAAGGCTGGAGAGAAAGCAGGGCCCAAACCCCACTCGGCTCTGCAGATCCCATGAGTTTACCTTTGTACAAAGATGACTATAGGAGCAGTTGAAGAGTTCAGGACCAAGGAGTGATGTGGTCAGACCTGCATTTTAGAAAAATAATTCTGGCTAGAGTCTGGCCCTGGGGGTGGGAGTGTCCAGAGTGGAGACAGGGAGACAGTGGGGAGGCTGCAGCTGGTCAGGCAGGAGGTGACTGGTGGCGGCCCGGGCTGGTGAAGCCATAGGAGGTGGAGAGGAAAGTAAATACAGTTAACATTGTACCGATCCGAGTGCTCATTATCGGCCAGGCCGTATTCTCAACACACTAGATGTCATCTCATGTACCCCTCCAAACAACTCCTGGAGATACATGCTATTATTCCCCCATTTTACAGATAAAGAAACAGCCTCAGAGATTAGAGGATCAGGTAGGGCAGTCTAAGAGTAGCAAGAGCAGATTGAAGAGCTTGCTCTGGTTTGACCAGGTAGGGGTAGGGGCTGCCACCCCTGAGACCCTAGCCCTGGACAAGGAGATCAGGACTTTAGTATGGGTGTGTTGTCTGGGGGCCTTTGGGCCATCCAAGTAGAGATGTCCCCTGCAGAGTTAGACATCATTCAGGCCTACAGCTCCAGAAGCCTGGTCGACAGCAGAGGTTTGGGGATCATGAGCACAGCAATGGTGCTGGAGGCCGCGGGCATGGGCGAACTTGGCCAGGAAGCAGGTGGAGGGTGAGGAGAGGCGCAAGCACAAGGAGCCGCGGCGTGAGGGGCCAGGGAGGAATGGCAGTGGCAAAGGGGCCCCTGAGGGGCCAGGCCCAGGCCGCCAGGGCTGGGGGAGCAGATGTTCTGCGGCCTTCCATGCGGCAGAGACAGGTCGAGAAGTGTCCACTAGAAGCAAAGAACAGGGTCGTTGTCAGGCCTTGCCGGAGCTGTTGTCTTGGGGCCGTGAGGGCAGGAGCGAGAAGGACTGCGTGGCGGGCGGGGGAGCAGGGCCACACCTATATCCACATGCTGCCCTTCACGGCGTGGCCGGGGCCGTGAAGGTGAGGCGGACAGTGGGGGGAGGTGGCCCGGGACCTCCTGTTGAGAAATGAAGGTTTCCTTTTAGTGTGTCCTAAAATTTTCCACTTACCGCCTTGATTTTAATTAATTTGTAGAGCTTCAGTAACTTAATCCTACTGGGAACTTACAAAGTACAGTGAAACTTCAGCTAGCCAGATTTCTTGGCAAATGAGCTAGCCACTTGGGAAAATGAACATTTATTTGAGTGAAAATATTTGAAATATAGGACTTCTTTTTTAAAACGTTTCTAGTATGGAAATAATCATATAAACATATGCAGTAGAGAGAAGACTCTAATGAACGCCCACATTCTCACCATCCAACTTGAACAGCAGCTCCAGACCAATCCTGGGCCCTCCGTGCCCCCTTCCCCCGCAACCAAGCTCTGAGCTCCGGGACCCTTGGAAGCAGATCCTAGACATGGTATCAGTTCATTGGTACAGGTTTCTTTTTTTTTTTTTAATGTTTTATTTATTTATTCATGAGAGTCAGAGACAGAGAAAGAGAGAGAGAGAGGCAGAGGCAGAGGGAGAAGCAGGCTCCCCGCAGAGCAGGGAGCCCGATGCTGGGCTCGGTCCCAGGACCCTGGGCTCATGACCTGAGCCAAAGGCAGACGCTTAACCATCTGAGCCACCCAGGCGCCCGGTACAGGTTCCTTACGTTTCTCTAAAAGACAAAACACTTTTTAAAAAAATGTAATCACAATACCATTATTACTCCTAAGGTCTTTAAGCAATACCTCCTCATTTTAATCAAGTATTCTTTGTTCAGATGTCCCCCAACA